ATTAAATATTGCCTCTGTGGGTGTCTGAGTTGTCAGGTCAAGATAAATAGAGACCGCGTTATGGAGGGGTACTCTCTGACTACGGGAAATATGGTTGCTGCGATAGTCGGCAGTTAACCCCAAAAATTTTCATTTGCTAAGATTGCGTATATTCACGCTAGGCATTCTGAAACCTGTTCCCTGATGTTAAATGGCTTGTCATCTAACACAACTATCAGTGGAAATTTCCCAAAATTGAACATTTGCTCCTCCTGACTTATCCTTACTACTACTCATACTATTACTACTACTAGTAGCACTACTTACTTATCCAAACTAAGAAACAGTATACATTAGATTTCATCATATTAGAGCTTTAGAGTAACAGACAACATAAGAACGTAAGACCGCGTCACAAACTGCAGATTTTAAATCGAAAAGTAGCCGATAAGATTAATGTGGACAAATCAACATGATAGCTATCAAAAGAAACGGTTATAACTTTATTACATGTAACTACTACTAACTACTTATACTGCTAGTACTAATAGTAGTATTACTACTACTACTTATACTACTAGTACTAATAGTAGTATTAGTACTATAGTGAGAATACATGGAAATGTAAGCAGGTGAAACTGAAATATGGGTACTGCTCCTTAGTATAGGTGTACCCCCCCCCCCCTTGTGTAACCACCTGTACCTTATCATTTACATTATCATTAGAGGCTAATTTCAATCAGGAGCTACCAATATGGGTATTTACAATAAAGTAATGGTCATATAAAGGTCTCTGTGAGCGACTTAATTTAGCGCGTATATATATATAGTAGTTATACTACTACTAGTATAGTAGTATAGTTTACTGCTCCTAATTTCGATATTCATAGTTAAGAAAGCTAATCTTTCTCTTCCAGTCTTCCCAATAGATAGTAGAACTTTACTCACCATCTCTATAAAAACATAACGATTTGCTAAATCCTGATTACAACACCCCCAGGTCCTCTAGGAGGATTGCTAATGCCTAATACTGTCTCTAGAACCCCAACTAAGAACACAGAGGAGGATTACTGATGCCACAAATGAAGAGAGGAGGATTACTAATGCCACAAATGAAGAGAGGAGGATTGCTAGTGCCACAAATGACCGTTTCCAAAGATAACCACCCTGCTCATTAAGACTACATGTAAGCTGTGTTAACACTAGTTAAGACTAGTATACGCTCATTAGGCTACCAAGCTGTTCCCCTTAGCTTAATTACACAGAGATAGAGGAGAATAGCACATGGAATTATACAGAAAACATAGTGGGTTGTAGAGAGGGCGTGTTTACTGTTTAGTCTATATTGCACAGGTAAACTATTACTAGTAGTAGTTTTATAGGTACTATTCAATAGGATAGTTCCATATTAGTTATAATAATTTTAGTGGAGGTTTACTATATTATATTCTTAAATAGTATAGATTCACTAAGACATGCTGGCGCTGAACTAAAAATGAGCTTTTAAAGTTTTAATGTAAACTGTGGATTCATTACTTTATTATACTGCCTGTGGTTAGCCATAACCGCTTAGTTTGGTTTTATTTTTGGTTGGATCACTGAGAATGAAGAAATGAAAGATGAAAAGTTATTCTAGCAACTTAGCAAATTCAACTGGAACTCTGGATTCAAAAGTTGCTGGAAGTTGTTAAAAATGAGAAATATCATTACCATCGATTAAAACTATCAATCTACAGATCAATATGCCGCAAATCCTGCCTGATATGCTCCAGGTTGCTTTCCCACAGCTTGACATGACTGTCACCTAATGGCTGCAATAGTTCACCCAATAATTAGTTACTACTTCCTGCAAAATCTCCACACTGAGCTATTAGTACTGCATCATCCTCCACACAATATAAACTATAAAGTTATAACTTATAAGAAACGAACATTTGTAGGCTTAGCAGAGGTATAAATCGTTCCGAGGAAATGAAAAGAAATTTCACGCCTTAAATAAAACGAGCTGGGAACTGCATTATTTAATCAACAGATTTTGTTCGATATACTTTTACTTTTCGTCACCATACTTTAAAGCGTCGTGAGGTTTACCGGTACTGCATAACACCGTGCATAACACCACGCAAAACACCTTTGTAACAAAATCTTGGTCCTGTGCATAAGTGCATGTCTATTTTTCTTTTTGTTGCTTTTTAACAAACTGTTTATAATTATTAAATTTCATAATAATAATATAACACGAGGAAGCGAAAAAATTTCAAAATAAGAGGCATTTTGCATCTTTAATTTATTTTTTATTTATGTTTGTACTTTGTACGCCCATAACTTTTATTATGACTAATAGCTCATACTCAAAAGACAGCAAGACGTTACCTTACAATATCGCCTGAAGGATACAATTACAACACTTTTAACATCTCTGTAGTTAACAAATCAACACATTTCCCATCCTAAGTTTTGAAACTGACCGAGACATGTTGATTTGTTGAACTGTAAGAAAATGTAGTTGCATCGAAAACTAAGGAAGCTGCTGACCCTATAAGTATAAGTTTTTTATAGTCATTAGGAAATGGCAAAGTTCGCACGAGATGCACCACGTTTTTCCCAATTAATTAATTTTAGAAGATTGTCACAGGAAGAAATTTTAAGATAGGCATATGATATTTCACAAGTTTATAGTTCAACTAATTGAGTTTCGATTAATAAAATTTTTGAAGCATTTAGTTGAGGACAAATTGAGGCTAACGAGTCATTTTACACTTTGTTTTCTAATGACAGCTTTCAAGCATGCAATAAAAGTTTAAACGTGTTTAATCGATTCATCAGATCGAACTATTTCAGAATCCGGAGCGAAGAGGGAAATTTTTTCGCTTATTGAGGGAAAAATGAGGCTAACAGATCATTTCTAATTTTTGAATTATGTTTGAACAATAACGTTCTTTAAACTATCCTTTGACCTGGTATATATTATATGGATACTTTAGGTCGATGGTAGACTCCACCTACCCTTTCTGTCTTTTTGATGGAGGATAAAATAAAGCTAACTATCAAGGTTTAAGGTTTTTGTTCATTACTTGTTCTACTGCTTCTTCGGACTAGCCCTTCAAATTGTTTGAAAGCCTCAATTCACCATCTCAAAAGATGGTTAGCGTAATGTTCACCTTGAATATTTGAAGCTTAGATATCGATTAAGACATTAAGTATAATCCCAAGGAGTTTCAAGTAACTTGTGAGTTGTGACAGTACAATATCTAGGGACTGAAGATCAACAATATCTGTTAGACGTTAGTCCCAATTTCGCCTCCCGATTCCCGAAGAGAGGGTCAAAACTCGAATTCTTTATTAGCCTTATTTTGGCCTCCTACAAGTAGACTCGGCGATTTCTGAAATTTTGAGCTTGAAGAGGATGAATCAATCTTTATTGTTGACACATTAGATAGTCACAATACTGAACCTACTCGAAAATATACACAAAAGTATACTATTACTTGTTAGCCTCATTTCACCCCCTCAAAAGGTGGTTAGCCTCATTTTCACCACGGATATTTAAAGCTTAGATCTCGATCAAGTATAATCACTATTGATTATACTTGCAACTTGGATATCATGGACGTAACATGAGAAAGTTCTTTTTTGAAAGTGATGAGGCTAATTCGTTAGCCTCAATTGTCGCTCGCAGTTCAATCACTCCTACTGAGTCTAGTGAGTAAGCTAGGAGGTTGCCGAACATATCATTTAAAAGCCGTATCGATTTTCTATACGCATACCAAAAATCAAATGCGTAACTAAAACAGAAATAAAATTAAAGAGGTTTTAAATGTTTTGTCAAAAAACGAACTTTTAACAGTCTAGTCTAGAAGTTCATTCGGTTCCTTCAATGAATTGTGTATTCACTTTCTGTTCCACTTTCCTCACAACTCAGTAACAACTCATCGTTTTAAGTTGACTGATAGATAAAAGTATGGATATCAAAAACAAGAAATACAAAAGTAAACTTCGGTTGTGTTATAAAAGTATATCGGATAAAACAGACTGTTAAAAGTACACTCCACATACAGTTCTTTCTCACGCTACTTTACTGATGTCAAATTAAACTTCACAATCTTTTAAATTTTATCTGTTATTGTATCGCCAGTGTGGTATCAAACTATCTTACAGCACTAAACTCTGTCAACGTAATATACAAAATAGTGAGCCTATGTAACACATGTTCCGCATATTATTGTAACACATGTTCTACGTCAAAGAGGCCCCTCCTATAGATAGGACCGCACCACCTGCTCAAATAGGCCACAATAACAGTTTCAATACTGACAAACAAGGCGCTAATATAAAGTGACGTACTAATAGCTCCTCTGCTATCTCTACCTTTACTATCTCTCTAACTGTCATGGTAACCTCTAATATCTCTAACTGTCGTGGTAACCTCTAATATCTCTAACTGTCGTGGTAACCGGGAAATTGGTAGATCACCGACCGGCTATAAGCCGGCTATAAACCGGCTTATAGCCGGCTACAATTTTTATAGCCGGCTATAAGCCGGCTTATAGCCGGTTAGTAGCCGCTTACATTTGTTGTTGAGCGACGGCTATTAGCCGGTTATAAGCCGGCTATTAGCCGTTTAGGTATCGGCTATAAGAAATTCAGTGAAAACGGCTATTAGCCGGTTATAAGCCGGCTATTAGCCGTTTAGGTATCGAAAGTGGTTATAAGCCGGTTATAAGATATTAACTCAACTTCATCGTACTGAACGATAGTCAGGAGCCGGCTATAAGAAATTCAGCGAAAACGGCTATTAGCCGGTTATAAGCCGGCTATTAGCCGTTTAGGTATCGAAAGTGGTTATAAGCCGGCTATAAGCCGGCTATAAGATATTAACTTAACTTCATCGTACTGAACTGAGTTAATATCTTATAACCGGCTTATAACCACTTTCGATACCTAAACGGCTAATAGCCGGCTTATAACCGGCTAATAGCCGGTCGGTGATCTACCAACTGGCCTGGTAACCTCTAATATCTCTAACTGTCGTGGTAACCTCTAATATCTCTAACTGTCGTGGTAACCTCTAATATCTCTAACTGTCGTGGTAACCTCTAATATCTCTAACTGTCGTGGTAACCTCTAATATCTCTAACTGTCATGGTAACCTCTAATATCTCTAACTGTCGTGGTAACCTCTAATATCTCTAACTGTCGTGGTAACCTCTAATATCTCTAACTGTCGTGGTAACCTCTAATATCTCTAACTGTCGTGGTAACCTCTAATATCTCTCTAACTGTGGTAGTTTACCACACTAAATGCAGAACAAACGGTCCGAAACTGACCTCGGATAAACGTATCTCTGAAACTGAAATGATAAACAAAATCCAAACTACATACAAACTTTAAAAACTGGTTTACTTTGAATAGCCAAAAATCGCGAATGATCGTCTATTTTGCTCTCAAAGAAAATTCCCTTAACAGCTTTAATAGACGGAAAGTGTACTAGTCGTCAGTCTTGTATTCCTCATCAAATCTGGGAATTTCGGTGACTGCTGAACTTGTATTTACGAAGCTATCTGGTAACTCCTGAACTTGTATTCACGAAGCTAGCTGGCTTGAACACTGGTTTTCCGTCTCTCGGCGGTCCTCCGCTTAAACTCCTCCTGAGCAGCCTCTATTTCGCTAGTACTGACAGTGGAGATGGAGCGGAGCCCCCGTCTAGCTCTGGCTACCTGCAGCTTCTGGATAATATCCGGGTCATCTGCCACGTCCTCCGGGGTTTCTCCTGACGGGGGTGAGGGACCTTATAGTTCAGAGTGCTACCAATCAGGTACCGTCCAATTAACTAAATCTTTCATTTGAAATCACAATAGATTTCTGTCTTCTTATTTTTAAAACAAATAAACAGTGAGTGGAGACTCTCATTTTAAAAACAAACCTTCCTTAGACTTCTTCCTCGGATCAGCTCCTCTGTCCAGGAGGTACTGAGTCATCTCTGTAAGATCGAAGGCAGCTGCGTAGTGTAGCGCTGTCCAGCCCTGTAGGTCTCTAGAGTTGATCAGTCCCCCAGCTTCCATGACTATATCACAAGCGTCCTGGTCATCATACACTACACACTCGTGTAGATACCTTCTTCCCTGAACAGGTGTGGGTTAGATAGTGACCAGGGATAGTGACCAGGGCGGCTGGCTTGCTGTAACTGTCGCGTAAGATAGTGACCAGGTATTCTTGAATATATGAGACAAGAGAAACGTCATCTTAGGACGCGAGGAGAGTTAGGACTCCTCGTACTCTATAGGTAATATTTAGCATATTATTTAGGTAATATTTAGCATATTATTGTTCTAATATTGGTCGTATTAATATAAAGTCCCCTATTATACCGTATACCCCCCCCCCCCCCCCCCACGTATACGAACTTCAGAGGTGAACTCGTTCACGATAGCATCGTCCACACTCAGAAAGTCTTCTAATGCTTCGTAGTCCTGCGCTTGGATTGCAGCCTTGATTATTTGCTGAAATGAACGATCAAATAGTGAATCTTATTTTATTTGTGTTGTTGGGCACTACTAGTAAACACATCTCGTGAAAATAAATTTTCAGATAAGCAATAAGCATGATCTCCATTATTTGATCACATGATCGGAAATAGACCTACTTCATCGTCAAAGTCGTCGTCTTCTGAACTTTCACTGAGTGTTTCTTCTGCGTCCTCTGCCTCCTGAAGTATTATAATATCTCTATTAGCGTTTGTTACAGACAACTCGTTTACTGTGGAAATATACACCTATTTTAGAAACATTAACATACTTGTTGATGGCTTATAATCAATAATGGACTTGTTGAATGTTGATACAAAGTATTTATTGTACTTCTGCTCATTGCAAAGGTTTCTTCTATGACAGGCTATAAATGTCCCTTGTCGCTGCTAATAAGTAGTGATGACTTGTGAACAAAATGTACCTTGATTCTCGATAGTCTTCCATATTTAGTCATTTGATCTAAGGGTGCCCGATATAAGCCTTCTGAGACAGACATTTAAATTTAATTATCTGATTCTGACCACTTGTTCAGGTCCTCGCCATAATATCAACAAATAACAGTACTTCGGGTTGTAACGAGTAGACTTGAGAGCGTCAGCAAATTGTAAATTTAACCAAAATTATAAGTATAACGGTCATTATTTATAAACGAAGGCTTGTTGAAAATTTATTGACTGAAAATGTATTTATTCCGGAAAACGTTAGACTGGTATAACTGAAAACAAACAAAGCAAGTTATTTATATTAATGTACAGTTATTGAAGGTTATAACTTATACCAATGAGCTAAGTTCACAACTTAACGGATGGATTGAGCACGGTTATCTCCATTCTCCTGCCAGGCAGAATGTGCAATCCTACTTCTACTCCTACAACACCCCGGGGAGGAGCGGTATCAAGAAAACAACAATTTCAAGAAAACAACAATTTTATTTAGTATCAATTAAAGCAAACAAAAATATATTTTATATATAATTAGCAGAACCTTTATACCAGATATCTTAGGGGACTTGGAGTAGCAAGAGAGTTTCTAAACATTACCAAAACACTACCAAAGAGAAAGCAATATTTTAAAAAGGATTGATATGACGTAAATTCTGCATGGCAGCTGTAAACATTTCTCTTAATCTCTTAATTATCTTTTAATTGTAGCCAATTATGCCCAGCAGCTATTTGGTAACTCTGCCACGTGCATACATTAGGCTTCACACACTGTGGCTGGGTATCCTAATGATAATTAATTATGAAATTATGTATTAATTATTATTTTGTAACAACTGACCTTGCGAGGAACTCTAGGACTGAGTCTGCTTTTGCTGCCTCTTTTCTTCAGTGTGCCATTCTCTGGTGCATCCAGGTTCTTTGCTGTTACTTTTCTCCGTAGCTGTTTCTTTTCTGATATAAGAGTTCGCTTAACTTCAAAATGTTCGAATCAAATTATCACCTCACATTCCAAATAAGCTGCGAATAAAACTACACTTAAAACTAACCAGATATTGAAATATACTCACCAGTAGTGGGCGTCACAGCTGGAACGTTAAAGTCCAGTTCAGATCTAGAAGTTGGAGTTACACTTTCCTCTCCCGACTCGCCCGCTGAGTCTGCACAAGGCACTTGTAGTGTGTCAGGTTTATCTGAACTGATCTCTATTTGTAGGGGATTGCTAGGTAACTGATGCTGGTTGCTAGGTAACTGGTGCTGGTTGCTAGGTAACTGGTGCTGATTGCTAGGTAACTGGTGCTGGTTGCTAGGTGACTGATGCTGCTTGGAGCTCGAGGCTTTCTGATCTAATCCCATAAACGCCCGGAGGCGTCCTGTCATTTTATTCGGCCACTTCCCTTTCTAGATAAACCAAAAGATTGTCAGCTGTGTATATGGACACGTTCATTTGAGTTTGAGGATATTGGTAAACAAAAATGATAGCGTTTTCAACGATAGTGGCTTAATTTTGACATCTATTAACTTAGCACGTTCAGAAGTTCTGAACATTAGCCACGTAACCCATACTCCCATATGCACTGCTCAGAAAGAAAATCTATTGTTGTTAGGCACTATAATGGTTCAAATGTCACATTTTGTGTGACTTAGTTAACTGCAGTTGTCTAATTATAATTACTTGGCCTAAAATATAGTAGATTAGGTCAATCTAACAATTATGATACAACATTGGTTAAAGGGCACGGATCAAACGGTTACAAGGCAATATTTGGGTAACTTTGTCACACTCAGAATACCAAACCTCTATTCTACTGTGAGGTGTCCTCAAAAACCTTTTAACTCATTATTTGATGGTTGATCTACCAATCATAGCCCTAACATATGTTGTTTCGAATAGTTAGCTAATACAGGCACTTGGTTATTGGGAAATGAGGTTAATTCTGTCACAATATATGGAATTTTAAATTTTGGGCGAATTATTTATATCCGATTTTGGTTTGAAAGGCGGGAAAACTTTACATGATGACAATGTAGTTGATGCAAGTTAAGATCAGTTGATGTTTACATTGTCACAAAAAATGATACGAAATCGTAAATAGGTTAAAAACAATGATTATAGAATGAAATAGTCTCTTATAATAACTCTTATAATGACTGATGTGACAAAGTAAACATGTCTTGCCCCTATTTTGAAGATCTATATATTCTATGACTCTATTAGAATTCAACATTCTTTCAGAAAAAAATCGGTAGAATATTGTCCAGAACATCAGAGCTCAAGTTTAACAATTTTAGATTAAATTTGTTAAAGTCACCAAAAATGTGACAAAATTAACTTTTCCTGCCCCAAAAATTTCAAGATAGTGTGTAAAAATTAGCATAGGCTGCCTTATTACCTATATAAATCAATCCAAACTACGAAAAAGATCTGTTAATCTGATGACGATTACCTAACTCTAATAATAACTGATGTGACAAAGTAAACATGTCTTGCCCCAATTTTGAAGATCTATAACTCTATTAGAATTCAGCATTCTTTCAGAAATGATTGGTAGAATATTGTCTAGAACATCAGAGCTCAAGTTTAACAATTTTAGATTAATTTGTCAAAGACGCTGAAAATGTGACAAAATTAACTTTCCCTGCCCCAACAATATCAAGATAGTGTGTTAAAATTGGCATAGGATGCTTTATTGCCTATATTAATCGATCCAAACTACGAAAAAGATCTGTTAATCTGATGACGATTACCTAACTCTTATAATAACTGATGTGACAAAGTAAACATGTCTTGCCTCTATTTTGAAGATCTATAACTCTATAAGAATTCAGCATTCTTTCAGAAACGATTGGTCGAATATTGTCCAGAACATCAGAGCTCAAGTTTAACAATTTTAGATTAATTTGTCAAAAACGCTGAAAATGTGACAAAATTAACTTTCCCTGCCCCAACAATATCAAGATAGTGTGTTAAAATTGGCATATGATGCTTTATTGCCTATATTAATCGATCCAAACTACGAAAAAGATCTGTTAATCTGATGACGATTACCTAACTCGTATAATAACTGATGTGACAAAGTAAACATGTCTTGCCCCTATTTTGAAGAGCTATACCTCTATTAGAATACTATGTAACTTTATCATCAATGAACTAGTTATTTTGCCAGCAAGGAGCTAACAGAGTTATAATAATTTTTTGTGACGAAATTACCCTATTTTTGACCATGTTGCGGTAGTTTAATTGTGACACTATTAACATATTACCACCCGATAATGATTTATGTGACTGGTGCGTGGTACTAGCAGTTTTGTTTGATCCATAGTACGTAATATAAGGGGTTTAAGCTGGTATATCATTATTTGTTCAATTTCACACATGTTCAGATATCATCAAGATTATGTGACAAAGTAAACTTGTTTGTGCCTTCTGTGTTTTAATTCCTTACGACTATATGATATAATAACAATTCCTAGCACTTCCAGGCCATCAAATAAACCTACACTACTCAGCATTGCTTATCAGGGTGCCCTAAACATTCTTCACATGTTTTCTTAAATGTGTGACAGAGTAAACCTGAGTGCACCATCTAACGAAAAAACTCGTCAAATATGTAGGTAATGGTCATATGTACCCATCCAATCAACTGGACACTCAAAAATTTGGTCAAAAACGGCAGTAAGGGGTCCATATTTACTCCGTCACATGTTTATAGTGTGACAATGTAACCATTTCCGTGCCGGCCGTATTTAAGCGATATCTTATCAGCTGATTAAGATATCGTTAAGTGACAAAGTTAGCCTAGAGGATGAGACGATTATCCTAACCATCAAGGGTTTGTGTAATTTCATAGTGTGACAAAGTCAACTACACTGTGCCTTTTAATAGGGTCACTTATATTTACCAATATCCTCAAACTCAAATGAACGTGTCCATATCTAATAGTAATGCACGATAATATTATAGCGGGATTAATAACTTTATAACTTTATAAACGATAACAGTTGTGGAACTGTTGTGGAACACAACAAGAAAATTGAAAATAATCTTGTGCGAGGGTGTCGACCCAGATATCGTTTCTAACCCAAATAAACTTTAATGAGGCTTCTCATCAGTAGCCGCACCTCCTTACTCGGTTTCTGAATAACTTATAACTTTATAAACGATAACACAATTTGTATCGTGTTTATTTCTTCAACATTGCTTTTGTTTAAAAACTAAAGTCCTTCGTATTAATAATTGTTAACGAACAGTCCAGTACAGCCCTGGCTATATTCAAAAACCCCTCATGCAGCCCTGGGGATTGGCAAACAGCCATAAAGTGAAGAGTATCACGACAATAATCAAAACAGAAAACAAATCAGTAAAAATACTGATAGTTGGATAATATCCGGTTGAAAGAGACAAGGACAAATGAAACAGTTTTAATACCTTCAACACTACTATATAACAAATGATTTGAGCCTGAAGATGGCGTTGACGCCGAAAATTTGCCTACATTCCTAACTTCCTGTTTCATTTGTCCTTGTCTCTTTCAACCGGATATTATCCAACCATCAGTATTTCAATCATGAGACTAATAAACAGCGAACTACTCCAACATTGATAAAATCAGTAAAAAGTGCAGTGAAAGTATTTACAATTAAACTGATTATATAATTGTGAGCATGTAAACAACGTGACTGTATTTCAGAAGCATACTCTGAGCGTTGTGAGGGAGGAGTACTGGCCGCTGTACTGGCCGCTGTACTGGCCGCTGTACTGGCCGCTGTACTGGCCGCTGTACTGGCCGCTGTACTGGCCGCTGTACTGGCCGCTGTACTGGCCGCCTTGTACTCGGTCTGCTCAATACAATACTGTAACAGTTCGGAGACGTGTTTTGTATAAAATGTCAGCAGTCTCAGTATAACAAAACTAGTGTTATGTATTGAAACAAGATGTGCATTGAAAACTTTGTCAACTTCAGGTTTGTCATGTCTTCACTGTAATTCTTTAGTTTGACTAATATAGTATGTTAATTAATTAATTAATTAAACTCTAGTATGTTAGTTAGCTTTTTAGAAGCTACCTACCCTCTCTCTACTTGTAAAGCTTTGCCAATGTACTGTAGTGTGTTATGGTATTGTGGTGAATGAAACGAAGCAAGAACACAATAAGATGGACAAATGGAGTATAATATTTGTTGCATGTTAAGAAGCACGAACCAATCGACCTAATATGATCAAACAAATATTTCAATTATGAACGTAAATATGTGATCAAATGACCGCACCAATTACAAGCTTCTATACTATTTGAACACTAAGGTTCAGTTAAAGTTAACACCCTAAATACTAGTATACAAGCTGTTGACACAGCGAGATAGAGGTAAGCTAACACAAACAATACTGAGTACAGCGAAATGAAAGTAACACAAAGAGAAATATTAGCGGGTTGATATAAGATACGGGTTGCCTAGGAACTAGAATACGTGATAATTGCCAGGATACATTACTTCAGTCTGAGTCAGCTTTACAGCTTATTGTTACCACGTATACTCCACCTATACCACTGATACGGACGGTGTGGAGTACAGTGTATCAACCACTTATAAATCACTTATTATAATGATAAGCTCATTTCTTTCTAGCTCCCTGATGACAAAACGTTCAGTAACACTTCATTAAATTTTACTGAAAATATATAAAATAAACAAGAAATGCGGCCGCTTTTTTTGTGCATGGCCGCTCAATTTCCCGATCCGTGATGGCGTATTTTATCATTTTCTATACAACCTGGGGACCCCAGTTTTTACTGTTTATAAGTATGCAGATATGGCGAAGTGACAGGCCGAGCGCCACCAAGTTAATCTAATTCCATATTGAATTTGAAAATCGTGTATATTTTAAAAAACCATATGCTTATTGTTTATGCAACCTGACACCCGACACGGATGTGTGCAAAATAGTATAAGTAACTCAAAATAATAATAGTATGCTATCAATTAGTGCCTAGTGGGATATGTACATGGTGAAATTAACAATGTACTTGGTCAGTTCAGCGCCGCGCGCCAACAATTAGCTAATTCGGATTATTCCGCAAAATAACTTTGCGCAGGTAGTCACGTGGGCGATTACAGTGTGTGCAGGCAGGTACGGTCGCTCGCAGGTACGGTCGCAAAGCTACCATATACAAAAAAAACCTCGTTCGCTAACCCTTGTCCTTGACTCTTTTGTGCCTTCGGCACTTTGAGTCATGGATCGGGAAAAAATATATTTATCATCGACGTTTAACAAAACATATGTTCTTGTGTAGGATTAGAAATTGTACAATTTGCCAGTATGTTCGGTGCTTGCGAGGAGCAGCTACATTACAATCAACAATTAGCCGCTAAACAATGTCAGGCATCTCAAATTGATT